CGAGTTCTTCAACTCGGTATGATAAAGCCTTTATTTACACCAAGTTATTCAACTTGGTAAGGGTGATTCCCATGCCTTTACCGAACTCTTCAGTTCGGTAGATAAACTTTTTTTTTATTTTATTTTTACCAAGTTCTTCAGCTTGGTAGATTAAAAAGTCCGTTCGTAACCGAGTTCTTCAACTCGGGGGGTAAATATATCATATCGATAACATCTTTGCATAAAGATCGATAGCAATACAAGGGGCCCGAGTGCCCGCACCAGCTCAAAATCTATACTATTATGATCATTTCAGACGCAAATTCATCCAACGCGTCCTATTACACACGAAAACCGGGTACCGAACTACCCGACTAGGCCAACCAGGCCCCATTCATATGTCATTTTCACATAGTTGACAATCCACGCAGTCAACTCCACTCGTCAGAACAAAAATAAGATTACCGTCAATGCGACAGGACAAAGCCTAAGCACGATCAGAAATTTGGCTCCACGGGTCCCAAAGTACCCGGCCAACATCGATACATTATTTATCACAGCTAAATTGGCTATACACGTGACTTCAGAACAGTTCTATTCAGAACATGTTCTAAAGTCAGGGGCCTACTGTTAATACCCAATTTTGGCCTCGCCTATTAAAATATTACACGTAGATATGAATTATATCAATTATTTTATTTTAGGGCCACAAATAATACCGCTTGTAATAATAACGGGCCCACCAAAAATTTATATATAAACCCCAATGATGGACGTCAGATAGATAAGTCTGAGGGGGCTATTATTATTTTTCTCTCTTTCCGAGAAAGTTCTTCCTCTTGCTTTTGTCTTCAAGATTTCTTGATTTTACACACAAATTACATACAAAAACTTCAACAGAAATTCATATAAACACAATTTCCCGAATACCCCATGTTGATACAAAATCGCATATCAACACCAACTAGCATCAATAAGAAATAATACAGAGGAAGACCACTTCCTGATGCAGCGCATCCCACATCGGGTTTGAAAGGACACGAAGCAGGCCTTATATGAGGATGTGGATACCTTCACTAGTAAGAAACGTTTTGGTGGGTGTGTATTGAAGCCCAGCCAAGAACAAAGCCGTGCGGGTGGCGGAAGTAGCGCAAAGCGGACAATATCTTACTAAGGTCTGCATCACTTCCTAAATATAGTTCTGATGGTTGGAGCAAACTTTAGAGTGTAGTTCAACTGATCTATCCCTTTCTGTCTTTAAAAAGGGCATTAATTTTTAGTGTAACATGTTTGATAAACTAAAAAGCCAACCAAAATAAAATAGAGAAGCTAGGTTGGAAAATTCTGGTGAAAAGTAGAAAGGGGCAGAATAATAGAATATTATTAACAGAGTTGGGCATGTGATGAAATCGCCTATCTCAATATAAAATAAAATCAGTGGAGGATCGCAGCTGATTCTTTTTATATATATATATATATTATTAAACAGTTGTAAAAAAATTTAAAAAAAATAAAAGTAGCCAAAAATTAAGAGTGTATTAAAATTAATTATATTTAATTAACTCGAAGTTTCATTATTTTGATCAATTTAAGATTAAATTATGGTTAACAATTATATTTTGGATGGAATTTGACATATCATGATGCGCACGCATATACGAGGTTGTGCACGAATTGTTATCATTCAAACTTTTATTTTAAAAAATAAGTATAAATTTCTTAATTAATGTATTATATAGTGGAATAATTATAATCAAATAATTTTCGGTCTTTATAGAAAGATCAAGGAATTATGTTTTTTTTTTATTTATTATTTTTTTTTAATTCTGAACAAGCAAAATTCAATCAATCTTAATTTTGGTCGTATAAATTGTAATTTTGTAAAAGTTTGGTAATGATATGAATTGATGCTCGATGTTTGGTTTAGACATTCTTAAAGATATCAAATGAAACGAGAGTTCGGTTAAACAAGCCGATCGAGCTCCTTTGTTGGATAGTTTTAGGCTCGAATAACAGGAACTCGAGTTCGGTTAAGCTCGTTTACACCGTACACTACAAAAAAAAACTCTTACATTCCAACGAAAATTTTCTGTTGAATTTTTATATTTCCGTTGGAATAGTTGGATATTCCTACGTATAAAAATCCGTTGAAAAAACGGCAGTTGGAATAGCAAATATCCAACGGAAAATCCTATAGAAATAAATTCCTACAACTATTCCAACCGAAAAATTTCGTTGGAATTCCTCAACTATCCAACACTTAGTCCAACCAGTTTTGATATGGAGCCATCAGATGGCTCAACTTATGAAGTCATCCACACTTATTCACCAATAGTGTATTGACACGTGTCCTACAATAAATATAATTTGGACAGCTGTCAACACATTAAGTGGTGGATGACTCCATAAGAAAACCATCCGATGGCTTCATAGAATTTTTGTAGTCCAACATAAAACTAAGTTTGTTGAAATATTCATTGGAATTTCCAATATAAATTTTTGCGGTTAGAATTGTAGTGTTTTTTTTGTAGTGGTAGTAAGTATTCATCATATTTTATGAGAAAAATTAGGGAATATCAATATATACGAGAATCCGAAACTTTCTAAATTTTATGCCTTACATGATGAACAGTACGTGCACATTTGATGCATCCCAATAAATTGCGCAATAAATATTTCACAAAATTTACTACCTATTAGTAGTTCATATTAAATAGACATAATTAAAAATGTACCTTGGAAGCCCATAATTTAAGCAATAAAAATGAAAATACTTCAACCTATTTGACTTGTGAAAAAGACACATTTCCCTTTTGGACTATTCAAAGGAAATAAAAAATAAAAAATTCAAAATTAAGCCACTGTGTGTATTTTGTGTGTGTGTGTGATAATACACCGAAACAAAATATATGTAAAAGAAAAAAAAAATGATGTTAGATCTCAGTACCTATCACATACACCTTCCAACAACTATCCCCTCTAATTTGGCCCTTTGTGCAAAATACACTACCTACTCATTATATGTACCCAAATAAAAAATTATTTAAGTAAATGAATAAAACTAAAGTTTAATATTGAAAATTATATATTTTTTCATCATATTTCATACATACCCTTATTTTCATAAAAAAACATAATATTTTACAATATAATATATGATATTTGATGGTATAAGTATGCATTTTGATAAATGTTCTAACTTATTACTTGCGTTGTGGTCTGGATCATGCTGTTAAATTAAACGAGTCTGGGTCGACTCGATACAAGCTCGGCTCGTTAAAGCCCGAGTTCAGCTCGAGTTAGAGGCCTTAACGAGCCAAGCTCGAACTCATTTAAATCTCGTTTGGTAAAGAGCCGAGCTCGACTCGGCTCAATAAGGCTCAAAAAGAGAATTTCTTTATAATTTTATATAGTTCGGCTCGTTAAGGCTCGAGCTCGAGGCTTCAACGAGCCGTCCTCGAGTTCGATTTCTGACTCGTTTAGCTCGTTTACAGACCTACAAAGACACGCATCTGCATGGAATTTGCGTGTGATCGAATGATTCATTATCATATCGATATAATAATTTTGTATATATATTTTTAATTATTTATGACAGGTCGATTCACCTAAAAGTTAGAATGTCCATTACACAAGAACTAAAATATATTTATATATATATATATATGTATATATTAATTTTTATTTTATCACCTCTAAGTGGTGAAACTTATAAACCACACAAAAAAAAGGAAAATGGAAAAAGAGGATTGATTATATATAGTTTATCTTGTATGCCCACAAAGAAAAATCTCTCCCTTTCTTCATATATCCTTGACAATTTTCTCTCTCTAAAAGCACAATTCCCTCTCTCTCTCTCTCTCTCTCTCCTTTTCCATTTGCTAAAACATCTCTCTTTTCTTCATATATCTTTCTTCAGTGAAACTGAAAACCCTAGCTACCTACTTACTTTCATATATATATATATATATATACATACAGAGATACACACATATTATTTCTAGTGAAGATCGTTTCTAAAGTTGTTTTAATTTCTGTACAGAAACCCTTTAATTTGGGTGAAGATTATTAGCAAAAGCCTTAGTATAAAGAGAAGAAGAAACTGATTGATTTGGATCCTCCTTTAACAGCCAGCCGGTACCTTTTTTCTCAAGTTATGGGTGGTGGTGGTAAGTTTATGAATTTCATGACAACTTAATTTTACTACTACTCTTTAACAGTATTTTTTCACTTCACACTGCAGTGTGATCTCGGCCGTTGGATTTTTTTTACTCTTCTGTGTTCATCTGATGGTTGTGAAACAAAGACAGTTTCAATTTCTCATTCTTTTTTTTATTTTTATTTTATTTTTTTTATGGGTGATGATAATTTTGTTGTTAGTTATTATTATATGAAGAAAATGAAAATATTGAGCTGAGTTGCAGAGTGCCAAACTGAAAAAATAAATAAATAAAAAAAAAAAAATCTCTCTCCATATGTTTTAGCTGCGATTTTCTTGTTTTTTTTATAATTATTTTGAATATTGATTTTAATTTCTAATATTGATTTGTCGTTGCAGAATTTACTTTCTCGCACTAGGGAAAGAAAAAATAAAAACAGAGAGAGAAGTAGACGCAAATTAAAATGGATTCCGGCGGCAACAGCGGCAGTCTGCAGTCGTCGAGCGGCGGCGATGAGGAGTACGACTCTCGGGCCGCCGGAGCCGGAGACTCATTCTCCGCCTTCATGGGCGTCGGCGGCGGCCACATCCCAAACCCGCCGCCGTCGTTCTTCGATCCCCTCGCAAACTATCTCCAGCTCCACCACAACACGAACCCACCCCTCCTCGACCCGAACCCGCCATGGCCACGGACCAATCCTCCGAGACCAGACCCGACCCCCGCTCCAACGTCCTCCACCGCGCCCGCGCAACCGAACCCGAACCCGAGCCAGTCGGCGCCCCGCAACCCGAAGAAGCGGTCCCGGGCCTCCCGTCGGGCCCCGACAACGGTCCTCACGACCGACACCACCAACTTCCGGGCCATGGTCCAGGAGTTCACGGGCATCCCGGCGCCGCCGTTCGACGGCGGCGTCGGCGGCTTCCCCTTCCCCCGCGCCCGTCTCGACCTCTTCGGCCCGTCCCGATCCGCCGGGTTCTCCCCCCAGCCGCCGACATCCGCCTACCTACGCCGCCCCTTCGCCCAGAAGATCCACCCGCCGCCCCTCCCTTTCCTCACCTCCTCCACCACATCCTCCTCCTCCACCCCATCCGCCGCCGTCGGCGGCAACTACGAAACCCCACAAAACCTCTTCCAAAACCCATTCGCCGGCCTCCTCCAAACGAGCCCCAAATTCCCATTCTCCGACCAGCCGACCCAGTTCACCTCCGGTGGTGGGCTCAGCTTCATGCCTTCCGATCAAATATCTCAAAACAACAGCTCAGAAAAGGACAAAGAACAAGGACGGGATCAACACGGGCTCAACCTCATGACGTCATCCTTAAACGGGGGCTACGATTTTCCGGTCGGCGGCGATAACAGTAAGACGAGCACCAACTTTCTCGACGGCAGCGGCGGTGGAGGAGGAAAGCGGCTGGAGAATGCTACTAACAACGCCGCCGGTGAAGGTATGGTGGAATCTTGGATTTGTTCTTCAGAGTAGGAAAGAAAAAAAGTGAGTGAGAAAGATTAATGATTATAGAGAGAGAAAGTATACTGTGGTTTTTGGGTGTAATGATGAAGGCTATATTATGATGATGATCATTCAAAAAATGGGGAAAAAAAAAAGAAAAAAAAAAACTAGGAAAACCATCAAATATTTATGTGATCAATTTCATGAGTTCACAAGTTAAAAGATGAGATTTTTACACTTTTTTTTTTCAGTTGTTGTTGTGCTTTTAAATTATGTGTAAATGATATAATATCTTTCCTTTTTGGACCATTTTTCTTTCATTTATGGCATACATAAGTTGTATATAGATTACATGGGTTCTGTTGGGATTTGTAATCGTTAGATGTACATTTGTATTAGTGTAACATGTGCATCAACAATTATAAATTCCAACTGAATGGGCCGGTAACGGGATTGTAACATTTTCCGAGATTACCTATATATATATATATCATAATTTTGGTTAATTATTTTATTTCTTATTTATAATATTTCTTGTTTGCTATCATGTGTGAAACAATTTTGGGTTTTTGATTTTCAACTTCTCCTCTTTGTTCCTATTTTTTGGTGTATAATTGGGAGCATTTGCTCACTACAATTCACTAATTGAATTTTTTTTCCCCTTATTACATCAAAATAAAATTTTCAAGTTTTTTTATTGTTAGATAAACACCTAATGATTAAAAAAAAGGGGGTAAAATCTACCTAGCTTGATTTGTTGTTCACATTATGTGAGGAAGAAAAAATAAAGAGAAAAAAAAAAAACATTGGAATTTGTGAACCTTTGTGGTTTTCCTCGTACCAAAAACATGCACTCGGATTTGTGTTTTAAGATGAAGAATTGTGTTGACTGTTGTGTTTATATCAGTTCATTGAGTTCTCTTCTCTCTATTTTATTATAATTTTCCTTAATTAATTGAAGTTTAATTTAATTAAGTGGATTAATTGGTCAGTAATTGTCGTAAGGGGGAGCTGTCGGCGGCGTGATTTGAGGAATGGGTTTTTTGCACGCAATTGTGTGTTGAAATTATATACTAGTATCTTTTTTCTAATGGGATTTCATTTCATTTAATTCATAATTACCTTGGATATTTTTTGGTGTTCAAAGTCCGTTGAAATTATAATCTTTTTTTTTCTAGTGGGATTTCATTTAATTCATAATTAACTTCCATATTTTATGTTGTTCAATATATATATATATATATATATTTCCTAGAGCTCTTATTTGAACCTCTTTAATGTAGTGAGGAGATCAGTTTTGCTATGAAGTCAATAGTTGACTCTATAGTGGAGTCAATCTTCCATATACAACTAATAAATCGATTCTTTTGTTGTATATAGAAGGTTGACTCCATTTACTTGTTGTATATAGAAAGTTGGCTTCACTATGGAGCCAACAGTTGGTTTCATAGCAAAACTGGTAAGGAGATAAACAAACTCGAGTTCGCCTCGTCTTGTATTATAAAGTATTAAAAAAATACGTTAAAATCATATTCAAATAGTCTAATGAGCTTAATAGAGCTCAACTTGTTACTTAAATTAGCATTAAACGAATTCGAGCTCAAACTAGCCGATTGAGCTCACGATAGCCGATTTATCTAACTACTATATATATATATATATATATATATATATAAATGGGATTTCATAATGGAAATGCCTTTGGGTATATGTATATAGAATGTGGTTCAAATGAGAATCAAGTCCTAACGTGAGAACCGCTATTTTTATTCGTATGTATTGTTATGATTGATTGTGTTTTAGTGTTATTTTTAACTATGATGTATTTTAATAAAAATAAAAATAAAATTTTTATTAGCATTTGTGAAAATGATAACGCCGTGCAATATTAAAAATAGTATCATACACAATTAAAAATAGCATCAAATATGATTCTTACGGTTTTCACACTAGACCGAGTTTTTATTTGAACCATCCGCTATGTATATATGTTCCTATATTTGTACTATACATTCTTTAATTAGAATTATAAAAAAGGAAATGGCTTTTTGGGTATAATACTCATCATTTAAAGATTGCTCTACACCTCTACCTAAGACCTTTTCGTACATTCACTGAACTGTATATTTTACCCATTATTGATCATGCCTTAAACGTTTATAAATAGTTAAATACCAATTTTAGAAAACTACTTATTTCCAATTTTATAAATGATACTTTTCTTTTTCCCTTAATAAATGAGGTTGCAAGTTGATGTTCATACGCAAGAATCTTCCTTTGTTCAGTGAAGAGATAATACGGTCCAGTTACGGAACTATTCCGTTGGAGTTTGTAACCGTTAGATCAACTATCTTGATGGTTACATTGATGGTTACATAATGATCTAACGGCTATAAATCCTGACAGTTCCATAACGTGACCGTAGTATTTTCCCGTTGAGTATTAGTATGTGTAGAGACAAAACAAAGCCTCACTGTATTACTAGCTAATTTTAATTATCAAATGTTGAACTTCTACTTTTGTTATTTTAAAATATGATTTTTGTTAAAATAATTAAGTATGCATATTCATAAAATGTGCACTAGACCAACCTAACAATAATGATTGGGATGACCAAAATAAGAATAAACTTGGCATGCCAACATTAAAGTTTATTTGAATTATATCTGAAAGCTAGAGCCAATTCAAGTTGCAAATTTTTATTAAATTATACCAAACATATAATATTTTGAGGCTTAATTAAAATGCACAACAAGTTTACTTAGTTATAGATATATGTGGCTGACTCTATTCAGACTTGCTTACACCAAAGCCACATATTATACATATGGCTAGCTAGCTAGTAGCCTAGTACCATCTTAAAACAATGTCTATGTAATTAATTTTATTATTGACCAGCCTTAAACGTTATACAGGTCGACTCGTTATACTTATATAGTCATGTTATAAATATTATGTGTTTACTTATATTGACTAACTAATATTCAAAATACCTGATTAAGGCTCCATTTTTCATAGGTTTAATAACATATTCAAATGCTTTTGGATGAGCTACTATATATAGTTGGGATTTCAAATAAATCTATACAAGCAATGAGTTTTATAGATTTGGGCCATGTTAATGGCCTACTCAATGTTTCAATTTACAACATTTTTCATAGCTAATGTTGGGCCATTTTTGGTGCAACTTTCCTTTTTTTTTTTATTAATTAAAAAAAGCAATATTGAATTCCCCGACATAGTCTATGGCAAGAAACAAATAAGAATGGGTCAAAAGATAATAATGAATATATTATTTTTTGGTTTAGTGATAATAAACAGCTCATAATATGAAATATTTAATTTTTTGTTGAATCTCCCGTAAAAAGGAAAATGGCGGTGTTGGAATATCACTCGTGAATAGTCTCACATTGATTCTATAGGGAAAACGAGCCTAGTATATAAACCTAGTGAAATACTACTCCCATCATCAATTGATTTTGAGATGGAACTTCACTATGGTGTACCTAAACTCACTCTGTTATAATGCGCTTCATCTGGTGGGACCGCACCTTCTTTTCCCGGTTCTAATAGGGGTAAATAACATAGATTATGTAAACATCTTAGTTATTATATTGGCCAAATAATTCTCTCAAAACAGAAATGAGAAAATAAACTCCATTTTTTTTTCTTTGATTTGTATTAAAGAAATTAAAAAAAGAAGAATGAAATGTTACAAAAGGCTAAAACTAAAAGGTGAAGGGAAAAAGAAGAGAGTTGAATTGCAAAGTTAAAAGTGCCTATTTTCCAATGGCAATTTCATCACAAAGGCATTTAACTTTTTAATATAAACTGATTTGATGGATGGTACAACTCTTTTTATTATTACTAATCCTTTTTTTTTTTTGTTTTTTGTTTAATTTAGGATGCTTTTGAATTTTTT